TTCAACCCTCCCACCACATCGACCGTTCCATGACATGAAAATAGTGTTAAAAGAAGGCAAACAACCACCATGGGGACCAATATATGCTCTGTCCCAAGTTGAGTTAAAGGCACTATGGTATTACCTTCAGGAAAATCTACCCAAGGGAATTATCCGCCATAGTGAATCGCCAGCGGGAGCGCCCATACTATTCGTCAAGAAAGCCGATGGAACCCTTCGTTTATGTGTCGACTATCGGGGCCTCAATGCAATTACGATCAAAAATCGTTACCCATTGCCGTTGTTGAAGGAAACCTTGGCCAAATTGTCAAAAGCAAAATATTATACCAAGTTGGATTTACACTGGGGATATAATCAGATCAGAATCGCGGAGGGACATGAATGGAAAACAGCATTCCGGACTCGATATGGACAGTTTGAATATACGGTAATGCCCTTTGGATTAGCGAATGCTCCGGCTACATTCCAACATTGGATCAATGATATCCTACGCCCCTATCTCGATCAATTTGTGACGGCCTATTTAGACGACATTCTCATCTACTCCGGATCCCTTGCAGAGCACAAGGATCATATCCAACGAGTTCTCAAGGTACTTGATGAGAATCATGTCCATCTCAAACTCGAAAAATGCGAATTTATGGTTCAAGAAACAAAATATCTTGGGTTAATTCTTACCCCGAATGCTAATAGAATAGATCCGAAGAAGGTTATTGATGTTTTAGAATGGTCTACACCAACAAACCTTCATGACGTTCAAGTGTTTTTGGGATTTGCAAATTTTTATCGACGGTTCATCCTAGGATATTCAAAAATTGTTGCCCCGCTTACAGCTCTAACAAAGAAAAATGTTAAATTCAAATGGACAGATGAAAGAGAGGAAGCATTTCAGACTTTAAAAAAGATGTTCACAACGGCACCTATACTAGTTCATTTCAATCCGGATCAAAAAATTCTGGTAGAAACCGATGCATCCGATTATGTTTCAGCAGGAATCCTATCCCAACGTGATAATAAGTGAATTTTACATCCGGTCGCTTTCTTTTCTAAGACACATTCCCCTGCGGAATGTAACTATGAAATTTATGATAAGGAACTTCTAGCGATTGTGCGATGTTTTGAGGAATGGCGACATCATCCGGAAGGAGTACAATTCCCTATTGAAGTTTTTAGCGATCACCGGAACCTGGAATATTTCATGACGACAAAATTGTTAAATTGCCGACAAGCTCTTTGGTCGGAATTCCTTTCACGTTTCGATTTCGTTATACAATTTCGAACAGGGAAACAAGGAGCAAAACCAGATGCATTAACTAGAAGGTCAGGTGACCTACCTAAAGAGGGGGATGAACGGTTGACGCATCAGAGCCAAGTGGTCCTGAAGCGGAAAAATTTAGATACAAAGCTAAGTTTGTTCGCGGGTTCTTTATCAAACGAATCCGCTGAAGGAATGTCCACTGTGGAGGAGTTATTTTCAAGAGCTTACCAAGTCGATAGTTTCCCAAATGAAGTTCTTGCCATGCTTGGGAGCGACGTTCGCCATTCTAATAAAATTTCACTTGCCGAATGTACGGAAGACAATAATGGTCGGCTACTTTATCGAGGCGCACTCTACGTACCAAATGACAATAACCTCCGGCTGAGGCTTCTACAAGAACACCACGATAAGCCGTCAGCAGGCCATCCGGGTAGAGCAAAGATGTTGGAACTCTTAAGTCGGGACTATTATTGGCCACAAATGCGAAAGTATGTCGATCGGTATGTTAGGAACTGCAATGTGTGTACCCGTAGCAAGGCACCACGCAATGCGCCTTATGGAGTACTTCGTCCAATGCCAATACGCGATGGAATATGGAAGGATGTTTCGATGGATTTTGATACTGACCTCCCTGAGAGTGATGGATATACTGCGATCCTAGTTGTTGTTGATAGACTAACCAAAATGCGACATCTGATACCAACGCCTAAAGAGGTGGACTCGAAGGAAGTAGCGAGGTTGTATATCGATAATGTGTGGAAGCTACATGGACTACCTGATACTGTCGTGTCTGATAGAGGAACACAATTTGTCGCGGAATTTTGGAAGTCGCTTTGCAAACGCCTAGAAATATCCCCACGATTCTCCACCGCCTTCCACCCTCAAACTGATGGACAAACTGAAAGGATCAATGCCGTAATGGAACAGTATCTTTGAAGTTATGTCTCTTATCAACAAGATGAGTGGGCTCGACTATTGGCAATGGCTGAGTTTGCAGCAAACAACCATGCTTCGGAAACAACAAAGGTCTCTCCTTTCTACGCCAACTCGGGAAGAAATCCCAGGATGACTTTTGGCCCCTTGGAACATGGCAAAAATACAGCGGAAGATCAGGCCAATAGTATTGCAAAAGAAATGAAGGATATGGTGGAGTTTCTGAAAAGCGAAATGTTTCGGTCACAAAAGATACAAGAGGAATCGGCTAATCTAAACCGTTCTCCTGCCCCTCGCTATTGCATAGGAGATAAAGTTTTCTTATCGACACACAATGTTCTGACAAAGCGACCCTCCAAAAAGTTCGATTGGAAACAGATTGGTCCTTATAGTATCAAACGAATCGTCAACCCCTATGCTTATGAGCTGGAACTTCCCCGTTCCATGAAGATCCATCCCGTATTCCACGTTTCATTATTGTCACCCGAAGCAGACAATCCATTACGTGGACAACAACTATCACCACCACCCCCGGTCGAGATGGAAGGGGAGGAAGAATGGGAAGTCGAAGATATTTTGGATTCTAGGAAACACAAGGGGAAGTTCGAGTATCTGGTACGGTATACAGGATACAACGATGCCTCTTGGCAACCGCTATTGGACCTTGAACACTCGCCGGTTATCGTTCGACGATTCCATGAACGCTACCAACGAAAACCTAAGCCTACCAGGAGGTAGGCCTTGGAGGAGGGGCGTAATCTGTGACGGCAATGGTACTTGTTGGCTAAGATGATCGATTGGATCGTGAAGAGAAGGTATTGTGCAGTTGGGCTAGGATTTGTAATGGGTTTTCTGTTGTGTTCTTTTGGTTTTCATTACGCGGGGTATGAGTCATCAACGGACTAGGAGCTGGGTATATAAAGGGGTGTTGCCTCGTGCCTTTTCATGTTTTCATTCCTTTCCTTTTCTCTTTACGGAACCTCCTGTATCTACTCGCGCCCGACCGCGCGGGTGACAGGACCCCCTCCCGTTTCGACATCCTGATTCTCGAATTGCTTCAGGCCCTGAGCGAGACGTCCCCCTATCTACCGAGTTGAAGCCTTTTACTAGGAGCCGTCCTTCTTCTTACCCCTCCTCAAACCCGTCGGCGCCCCCGATCGCGACACCCAAACGACCAGCCCCTCGAGGCTACCCCTCTCTACGTCGTATTGGCACTCTGTCAATAGTCTGGAGGTCAGCGCAGACCTATTGCCAAAGCCTACGATAACCCACGGTGTTAGAGACCTTATGGTCGCGAAACATTCGTTCCTTACTTTACGCGAGGTCCCTTCGTTGGGCCTTACCCCGCTTTACGGCCCTAGCCAGGCAACTTATTTTAACCGAGTCGGCTTCCCCGCTCACCCAACCCCATCGGCCCGGTACTACAACCGAGGCCACCCCATCAAGACACGGTCGGCACTTACGATTGCGACCACCTTATACACTACGGAAATCGAGTTCGAAGGTCACCACTGTAAAGACCACCAACAGGTAGTGGCTCACACTCACCCCATCCACACTTGGCCTCAGTGCCATTCCTACCTTAACTCCCTGCTGCCTGACGAGCAGACTCTCAGGGACCCCACCGACACCCCCTCCCTATGCTTTCGCACCTGATGCTTCGGCGGTCTCTCGCCTCGCCTTCGTGCAGTACTTCCTATATGGCTTTGGTAATGATCCTGGTTTACGGTGAACGGGTATATAGACGATTGACTTTATGTTGTTTGACGGAGAAGCTTTTGGGTTTTCATTTCTACTGTAGTGTTGTTACTTTGTTCGTCGCTTAGTTTCTGTTCATCTACACCATGTCGCGCGGTATTTTGTACGTACTTTTCTTTTTGTCTTTGGCGGTAGTGTAGGCGTGCGATAAGCCCTGTGCTTCTATGCAATATAAAATCCAAATCCAAATCCTGTATCTACTCGCGCCCGACCGCGCGGGAGACGGAACCCCCTCCCGTTTCGACATCCTGATTCTCGAATTGCTTCAGGCCCTGAACGAGACGTCCCCTATCTACCGAGTTGAAGCCTTTCACTAGGAGCCGTCCTTCTTCTCACCCTTCCTCAAACCCGTAGGCGCCCCCGAACGCGACACCAAAACGACCAGCCCTTCAAGGCTACCCCTCTCTACGTCATATTGGCACTCTGTTGATAGTCTGGAGGTTAGCCCAGACCCATTGACAAAGCCTACGACAACCCACGGTGTTAGCGACCTTACGGTCGCAAAACATCCGTTTCTCACCTTACGCGAGGTCCCTTCGTTGGGCCTTACCCCGCTTTACGGCCCTAGTGAGGCAACCCATTTTAACCGAGTCGGCTTCCCCGCTCACTCAACCCCATCGGCCCGGGACTACAACCGAGGCCACCCCATCAAGACACGGTCGGCACTTACGATTGCGACCACCCTATATACTACGGAAATCGAGTTCGAAGGTCACCACGGTAAAGACCACCAACAGGTAGCGGCTCACGCTCACCCCATCTACACTTGGCCTTTGTGCCATTCCTACCTTCACTCCCTGCTGCCTGACGAGCAGACTCCCAGGGACCCCATCGACACCCCCTCCCTACGCTTTAGCAACTGATGCTTCGGCGGTCTCTCGCCTCGCCTTCGTGCAGTACTTCCCTTGAGGCATTGGTAATGATCCTGTTTTATGGTGAACGGGTATATAGACGATTGACTTTATGTTGTTTGACGGAGAAGCCCTTGGGATTTCATTTCTACTGTAGTGTTGTTACTTTGTTCGTCGCTTAGTTTCTGTTCATTTACACCATGTCGCGCGATGTTTGTACGTACTTTTTCTTTTGTCTTTGGCGGTAGTGTAGGCGTGCGATAAGCTCTGTGCTTCTATGCAATATAAAATCCAATCCAATCCTGTATTCACTTCACGAATACTATGTTTGTTCTACGTCACACCATAGGGCCCAACTGGTTTGTCATACCAGGTATAGCCACCCCATAGTCCATAGCCAAGAATACCTATTGCTACGTTCCCGCCTCAGTTGTATTCCTTGGCACTATAGTCGTCACGCCCATAGACCCCCGTTACAGCAACAGGCCCAGCAACAGGCCCACCAGCAGCAGACTCCACTGCTTCCTCAACACGCAGCAGTGCTTCACCAGAGGCTCTTGTATGGACGACCGTACTTAGGGTTAGTGCTACCCAACCAGCACCCGCTAGTGCTCCACAAAAGAACTTTGCCCGGAAAACCATAGTCCCAAGTCAGGTTCTCACTCAGTCCAAGTCTAGTGCAGTCCACTCAACAGGCCCAGCAACAGGCCGCTCAACAGGCCGCTCAACAGGCCGCTCAACAGGCCCAGCAGCAACAGGCCCAGCAACAGGCTGCTCAACAGGCCCAGCAGGCTCTACTACTCCCTCACCAGCACCCGTTAGTGCTCCACCGAAGGTTCTTGCACCGGAGACCCCTACATTCAAGCCCCGACGCCCCTCTCGGTTAAGTTCTAGTGCAAGCCCGTCCGAACTAATAGACCACCCCTCACCAGTGTGACAGAGATGAATTAGACCCGAGCCATCGCCGATTGTCCCAGAGACATCCCCGAGTATTCAAGAGACATCCCCGAGTATTCAAGAGACATCCCCGAACTCGCCCGCATTCAAGATGACTCAAGCAAGCAAAGCGAAGATGACTTTAGGTCTACTCAACCTACCTAAAGTGTACACCAGCATCCGCAACAGCCTAAAGGCGGAAATGCAAAATGTAGGTTGGGTCAATAAAAACACCTCCGGATTGGTTGCGTTTAATGCCCTATGCCTTTACTTAATGAACCTGCCCTCCCTCAACGGTTTTCTGCCAATTTGGAATGGGGGTGAATCCGCTGCCCGTAGAGCACTAGCGAGTGCTTTACAGTGGCTCATCGCGGATGTTGGTATGAAGGATAAGTTATCAAGGGGACAGGGAGACCGTCAGTTCAAAGTTGCTGCCGGTGATAGTGATGATGATGATGACGGCGGTGGTCAGGCAGCCGGAAGACGCTGTAGCAAAGGGAAAGAGCGTGCAGTACCTCCGGAACTCGTGCGACCTTCCATAATGGTTACCGTGGTGGGCCCCGATACTCTAGGGGCATTCTTTATGCTCGTCCCACCACCTACTTCTGACTAGAATGATCCCCTGAACGAACCTTCATCGGAATTTTGACAAAGATAACCTTCCCCGAGCTATGGAACTTGATCCTGAAGCACATCGCACCCGGCAGAGCAGTCAGGACTATCTAGGGTGCAATTGAGAATGTCCCCCCGGCAGCTGTTCCTCCCGTTCGGCCGGTGGAGTTACAAATTACCGATTCAGAGGAGCTCGAAGGTTGGTTGAAAAACAGCAATGCCAGGCCTCGGAGGATATTGGCGGTCCTCCACAGAGCAGGCGCGGGTGCTAACCTGGGTGTTGAGGAATCCCCCCCGTTGAACCCGGCTTTCCCTCACGTTGAGGAAGATGATTATAGCATGATCGATATTCCTGCAGAGGATTCGGATTACGAGGAGGGAAAGCACCGGATAAATGCCATAGGACTGAGGGTATATATGCCTAGAACTGATGCCAGTAATTAAAGGCTAATTCAGACTCTTGTTAGGCGTCGCAATAGACAGCAGGATGCTATCGACGATTTAGACCCCAAATACCTTAGGAAGTATCCTTTGGGTGTCGGGGTTGCTGACCCAAACTTCTTACAGGGGACGATCTGGACACCTGCCGGGATAGCAGCCAAGAGAGCTGCTGATGCACTCGTGGCCGCTGGTGCTGGAGGTGGTGGTAGTGGTGGTGGAGGTGGTGATCGAGGTGGTGGAGGTGGTGGTGGTGGTCTAGGACCTCCACCGCCTCCGGGCAGACCCCCTCCTCCTCCGGGCGGCGGTGGTGGTGGAGGACCAGCTGGAGGCGCTGGTGATGGTGGTGGTGGTGATGGTGGTGATGGTGGTGGGCATCATTAGTTCCCTTTGGTACAATCTCTAACTTCCCTTCCTGCGGAATTGTCACTAACCTTTTAATAGTTGTTAGGATATCTCCCTGAGCACTCGCGATAGCTACTGGGGTGCGGTACGATCAGGTGTTTTGGATTTCCCTTTGTCTTGTGAGAGTATATCAATGGATGAGTTATATCGGATAGGATTAGATTAGATTAGATTAGATTAGATTATTCCAGGTAGTAATTGCATTTCTTTTCTTTCAAAGTCGAATCAAACTCCTAGTTTGCTCTCAGAGCACTCGGTACCACTTCAGAAAGTGCAGTAAAACGAGTGATGATAAATGATGCGGTTGAGTACAGAAATTGTGGTAACATAGGATGATCCCTGTCGTAAGAGGATTAGCGGTGCAAATTTTTCTTGATTAGCGGCGCTAATTTTCTCGCCAAGAATTGATTTCTAATCGAAGATATCGCGAGTGCTCCTAGAGCACTGCGGATATTCCTGCCAGTCATCAGAATTGCTACCACCAGGCACTCCTCCGGTTCAGCACCTCTTGCCCCAAAGCGTCCACGACCCCCAAAACGACTTGAAGAACATCAAGATTTACTGACTGACGAGTCTGAAATATCTCACCGAACATTGACTCCACTGCCAGCCGGCACTCAGAGTAGTCAATCGACCACCGCCGCTCAAATAACTCGGAAAGGTCTTCTCCGTTCCTCCGAAACCCTCACTGGGAGGAGCAGTCCTAGGAGGATAGAATTTCATCTCCCCGAGGATCATACTGGTAATTTTGAAGCGCAGGAGGTGCCTGAGGCAATTGAGGCGCCAGAGGCAATTGAGGCGCCAGAGGTGGAAGAAATAGTTGATACTAGCCACTCAGACTTTGATGATGCTCCGGAGAATGACCACGAGAGCTCCGAGGAGGATGAGGATGAACCAGAGGATGAACCTCAAGCCCTCCCCCCCCATCTTACACCCAGAAGTCTCAGACTATCGGAAAGAAACCTCATACAGTTCAGCCGACTACTGACAGAGCACTGGGCAATGCTCGGATGAAACCAACTGGCACGGTAGCAGAGGTCATTGCTTCGTCCAATGTGTCGGTGGACATGGTACAGGTTCGACTCTATCTCGCTCATTGATGCTTTTTAAAATGTAAGTATTAGTGGCTAACGATTCAGAGGGGAACTGGGCAGGGTGCGAAAGTAATACGTAAACAAGGTCAAGGGAGAGCAGCACCCACTTCAGCACCCAGCCAGAATGCATCCCAGAGAGCACTCCCGGCATCCCAGAGAGCACCCCCAACACCCTGACAGTCTAGGTCCTCTGCACCTGTTTATGCTCATGAGTATACCTCTTCTACGCGCCATATCGATTTTTCCTCGATGCGCTCTCGATACGGGGAGTCTTCCCCCACTTACCGGACATATCGTTCTTCACCGACTAGCGAAGTAATTGGCAAGAACTCTGTGAGCAGTCGTCAGATTCCTTCAAGCCAACTTCACGGTCAAGGTATATCGCGAAGAGTCTACGAAATCGAGTACCTTTCCTCATCTAGAGAGGAGGACGAAAGTACTCCGATGCCGGAAGGCAAGGGTATTTTGATTCCGGGAAGCGAGGTTAGTATTCCGGAGGACACTCACGATGTCTTTGAGAACACTGGCGACATTCCTTCGAGCCAATTGACTCAGAGGTCTGTGGTCCCTAACTCTAGGAGTGCAAATGTGCTGTCAGTGCAGGCTGAGAGGATTGAGAAGGAGTGTAGCGTGTTAATCGTGGAGCATACTCTTCTACATGAGCTCTTTCCACCTGCAGCAAGACTTTCGGTACTGGTATTGAGCATGTGGGCAACTCCTAGTCGCCGAGTGGGGTGTAGAGTAGACTTTGAAGAGGTCGTTATTAAACAGGTGAGTGCCCCCAAAAGGATTACGAGTGCTCTGGAAGCATAATTGAGAATGATAGGTCAGAAGTCTGCACTCCCGTGTCCGTTCCCACTTGATGCACGAGGTGAAAGGGCGCCTGTCGGACTCTACGATATACGGGCTTGGAAATTTTGTGGGGCCTGAGGCGAGGGCGGCTCAAGTTGAATACCTTTTGAAGAATGATCGTTTCTTGAGCCCCCAACAGCATTACGAGGTATGATGCCTGGGATGCCCAGAGAGCACTCGGGATAGCCGGTAACAGATTCTAGATCTACCGACTGCGCTTCCTGGCTCTGGAAATTATCGATATATTGTATTTTAAATACTTTGATGGGGTAAGAATGCGAAGGGTTAGGGATCCCGAATTTCTAGAGCGGGTAACCCCTACCCTTATTTGCCTGATATCGACGGCGATCTGGCACGGCATTCGGGCGTGGTCAACAGGGAGTTACGTGAAGCCTGATAATTTTCAGTCGCAGAATGAGAGTGTTGTGAGTAAGTATGGCCCGATGCCCTCATTGATATGGCTAGTGCCTTGGGAGCAATGACGGATGCTACTAGGGCTATACGGGATTGCCAAGTTGATATCCAAAAACGAGTAGAAACGTTCCACAGGATGAGCAACACTTGGTAGGGGAGAAGTAAACAGAACCAGGAGGCAATCTTGGAGGTAATCAAAGATAACCTTCGAGAAAGGGTATGATACTTCTAGATGCCGGTAATGCGAGTGGTATTCTAAATGCTAACCCTAATAAATACGAGATGAAAAAGGGGTAACGATTGAGATTATACCGGAGGAGGGTTTTAGCGAGGACGATGAAGCTCTGGCTGCGGATCTTGCCGCATTCCGAGATGCTCGAAGAACACCCACGAGTGCTCCAGGAGGTCGGGTTGATTCCGACAGCGCCCAGGACGAAGTGATTAATGCCCGACTTCGCGGCATTAACACCGAAGAGGAGGGGGAGGAGGAAGAAGAAGAGCCGGAATTACCTGTAGCGGGGGATTACGAAGGGGGGGGGGGGAGGAGGATGTGTAGAACAATCACAAGTGCTAAGGGAGATAGTGGGGGATTTCGTCTGATTCGTATATTGTATTAGGGTTAGTTAGGGTGTTAAATAGCGTATTGTATTTAGTATTAGGCGGAGGTTCACTGTGTTGAATACACCAATTCTCCAAATGCAGTCGCGAATGCTCTGGAGACAGTAGAGATCGTCGTGCGAGTGATGTTTTTGTAATCTCATGGGGGAATTGTGAATACCAAAGGCCGGAACGGCGGAGAGGTGTATGCCTAGAGAGAACGGGGCGCCGACATGTAGGAATCGGTACGTCGGGCATGAGCCAGATTTCAAAGCACCCCATCCGGCAACGTCAGGGGGAGTCAGGGCAATCATTCTATCTCCAGAGCCCGCTGGAGCAGTCAAGAGTGCTTCAGGAGCAGTCAGAATATCCAACCGTGCAACTGGCGTTCTCTGGGGGGTAGAGTGACGTCCTAGTTACACCGGCCACTAGTATTTAGTGTCGGGGCCCGTTGTGCAGACTGGTGTGCACTGGGGCGGAATAATGTGCACCAGACCTCGCCAGGAACACTGGCGGTATCTCAGGAGAGGTAGTTTACCTACCGAGCGCCCTGAGCGCCCTGAGCGCCCCGGTCGTGTGGCGAAGGCTATAGGTTTGCTGATGCAGGGCGTTCAGTGGGATGGGCTTGGAGGGCAGAGAGATCAATTGGGGCGAGGACCCCAGCATTATGGGATGTGTGTGCGGTGGGGGCAGGGGTAGTGAATTGTCTAATTGTTTTACGGATTGCTCGTTGTTCGGCCTTGCGACCTCAGATCTGGTATTCGATCGTCATCAACATGATCGCATATGCTTCCACCATATTGGGTCTGTCCGTACAGTAGGTCATGGCATTTCTAAGGTTGTCTGATAGTCCTTCAGCTAGTGCGCCGATTTTAGCTCCTTCATTGGAATCAAAGTAGGCCACGATGCGAAAGAACTGCGAGTAGTAGGTTTCAAAGTCTCCTTTGTCTTGTTTCAGGGCGACCAACTGATGGTGAGTGGTAACCTAGGAGTCTAGGTCTGCAAAGATGCTTCCAGATGGGTAACGAAGGTGCTTATGGAAGAGAAAGGGGCAATGGGGTTGGCGTTGATGAGTGGTATGACCTGATTGAGTGCCCTCCCTGCCAAGCGACTGACAGCGTAGATTACTTTTGCTGACTTCTTACGGAACCAGTCGTCGTTAACTTTGAGCTTCACTCGGAGTTGGGTAATGAATCTGGAGAGCTTGGTAGGGGTGACGTCGAATTTTTCCGGGTGTGGGAACTTTTCAGACCTGAAGGTGGAGACGGAGTTCGGTTGAGGGGCGGTGATGATGGAAGCGGGAACGACGGAGGCATAGGCAGCGCGAACGACATTGAAATGAAGGTTGAGCTGGGTTACCTGCTCCTCAAGGGTGTCGATAGTTTCGTGGATGGCGGCGAGTTGGGTACGGGCAGTATCCCTCTCATGACAGATACGCTGGACGAGGGTGGCGACGTGCTTGAATAGAGCAACAGTATTATCTTCATACTGCTGATTGAATTCTTCGATGTTGTTGAGTGGGACCCATGTAGGCAGGTCGGGGGTGGATATGGTATACGGTGCAGATGAGGACGCAACGTAATCTCAAGGGGACGAGTAGCGAGTATTCCGCAGGATACGTATTAGTATAGTAGAAGCTGGCGAGTTAATCTTGAATGGAACCCAGGGAACTCCGTGCAGGCAAGCGTTAATGGGGGTAAAGGAGCGATAGCGTGATGGTCTTCATTAAGGGAGAAGGTATAGTAATGCGTATATAGTAACGAACAACGTAGATACAGAAAAAAGTGCGTAGAAGAGAAAGGAAGAAAAAGAGAAAAGAAGTGGAGGTGAAGGCTCCTAATATACCCATGAAAATCTCAACGATGACAAATCCAATATGATTCATACCCTCGCGACCGATAGTACCCGATAAAAACCAATGGAATCTTTCTGACTAATCGAACTTCTCGTAACCCAATGCATTAATCAATCGATCCATGAAAGAACTCAAGGAAGAAATCTATATGAAATCGTCATCAGGCTATTCTACTCCTGACAAAGTATGGAAACTAATCAAAAACATCCACGACCTCAAACAGTCATTTAGGGAATGGTGCGCCCGCCTCTCCAAAGCACCAATCAAAATAGTATTCAGAAAAGCAGACTTTGACCCTCGTATCTTTATACACATAACAATGGAAGTAGTCATTGCTATCTACGTATACGATAACCTCATTTATTACTGGCCCATTGAACGTAAAAATCGAGTCAGCCTCTTACTTAATTTAGAATTTGAAACAACGGAAACTGGCGCCGTCAACTGGGCACTCAGAATCTACCTTATCAACACTAAAAATGGTGCCACCCTATTACAGGAAGACTATTTCAAGCATTTACTTATCAAATATGGTTTCGAAGAATCCAGACCTTTGGCAAAATCAATAAATAACAATGTTCAGCTACAACTTGAAAAGGGAATAGAAGCAGAGGAAATCGACGATCCAATAATCTATCAGTCGATAATCAGTTCACTCATGTAAGCAGTAATCGGTACTAGACTTGAATTCGCTTAAACCATTACAATACTTTCACAATTTTCCTTCTGTCCCACCACTGGCGAGGCCTATTTAGCTCCAGTCCATAGCGTACTCTGTTCTCTCAAGGATACCCTTGATTGTTGACTCTTTTATGCAAAGATGCCATTCACTTCACTTATTGGCTATAGAGATACAAGCTACTAGTATACCTCTAACATCGACGACCGCCTCTCATTTACCAGCCGCCTCTTTATATTAGTAGAATCTCTCATTTCCTGGAATTCTCATAAGCAATGCTTGGTCGATACCTCTACCATTGAGGTGGAATAGAAGCCCTCCTAGATGCCAGTCAACAACTGATTTGGTTAAGAAATCTGATATACGAACTGGAACAGAAACTGAACACATCTTTTAACGTTCATGGCTACAACTTGAACAATGATGGCTCCCTCTCTTTGGTTAAGAATCCTATTTTTCATAAAAGGTATAAACATATTGACGTACATTTTCATTTTGTTCGGGAACTGTTTGAGGATTATTTTTTTGAACTGCAATATATTTCTATGAACGAGAACATTATGGATTTATCCACAAAAGGATTGGCTAAGCGCAACTTGAAGCATGTTTTATTTTCTTCTACTATTCACTATGGCTCACGAAGGGAAGTCTTGAAATAGGGAGCTCGGCAAGTTTTATAGTATTGGAAGATTCTCATCATTTCATCATAGTATTCGTTATCGGTGTATGACTCACTCATGACACACTTTCCAATTAGTCATTCTACTACCCATACATCTATGACTCATTGTATCTCTTTTGTACTACTAGTACCCCTCTTTAGTATAAATACGGGGTATTCCCCCTTAGTTAGAACAATCAACATGATCAATTACTTTACTTCTCCTACATATTTTCTCTAAATAAGGCTCAAACTTGTATAAGTTTCGACGGTAAGGTACCCCGTCAGAAAGCTCCGGGTTTAGGGGTGGTTGGTTGGTTGGTTGGTTGATTGAGAATTCATTGAAGGTGATTGTGTGCAGCCCGGAGGCTATGAAAATAGTAGAGTGAGATCGAAGAAGGTGTTGTGCTAACCGGGACAAGCACTCTAACCGGTGAGAAAGGGAACAACATAGTTCCTGTATCGTCGGAGAATTTAGGAAATATCTTTCTCTCCCGGGTTGTCCGGAGAAGGTGGAACTGTCGGTATTCAGTAAAGTATTTTAATGGCAAGACCACGGCGTAGTTTTCGCTCGAGTCCTATCTACCATAGACAATTGATAACAACGACTTAGGCGCAACAACATCTTAGTGTCGCTAATACACACGCTATTCTCAGCGGGAGAAGGGGTGTATCTCTACACCGTGAGTCAGATATCATTACATCACCCTGGAGAGTAGTAAATACCAGTCATGCCAATAAAAGCGCACGGAAAGTCTAAAGTCGGTGACTTCCTGGCTCGGCGAATGACCTTGAGATTCGGCTGCAAGCGTTATGGCTCACTCCCATGACGCCGGAATATTAGTGATTGTGAGTTGTCTGTAAAGATATTTGACCACGCAGGAGTGGCACCTTAACATCCATTTACCATGGCCCAACTTCAGTCTATCAGTGTAAGACCATCAGCGATTAGCCGTGAGCCATCCACTTAACTCTATGGATATCTTAATAGCTAAACAGCTAGTCCTATGAATGTTTATATGCAGATAGATAAGAAATTTGAATACCAGGGTTCATACCTATAAACATATCTATCATAGGGAGCTGCTGGATTCGGTATAGTCGGAGGTGAGTTTGGTACGACTCCAAGATGAATTCAACGGATCTGGTAGTGGCTCCGGTAGATTCGGTATACTAGAAGTTGAATTAGTTCGGTGGATCCCCTAGGGTTATTATAGTCATTGATTCCTCTCTCCTTTATACTCTACATAATTTTTCCACAATTAACATTCCATGCGATAAATTTCCACCGGTACCCTAATCACAGTCCGTCACTCGCAGTTAATCAAGCGCTATCAGAACGCCACCGGAGGCGGTACTTTACAGTGTGGCAGCGAATAAATATGGCGCAAGAGGGAGTAGAGGGCGGCCCATCAACCGTGTACATAGTAGTTCAGTGAATTATCTCATTGGCTAAGCAAACATTGAGGAGCATTACCTTCAACTAGCTCAACTTTATAGATGTAAGGGCTACATTACTAAATTGGTGTGAACAGGGATTACAAGGTCGCCCCCCCAAGGCCTCTCGCACCATAGGTACTATGTATAGTAGGTATTAGACAAAAATGACAGCGGGTGGCTGTCCACCGGAAGCGAGTAGCCGGACGTTCACTCATCATGAACCTCTGCAGTTGTATGCGCGTGAGACAGCTCCTGGTAATCACACTCACACACACACACACACATATGTATACACAATATTACATTGTCCCTATACACCTTTTGCTTCTACATCTAGAGATTGGATATGGCCCATGTGATTCTTTATTAACCCCAACAACTTACTAATCAACTATTACTGAACTGCAGGAATAAACGAGAGCATGAGGCAACAATAAGCTACGAAGATGAGGCGTAAAAAATAGGTTATTCCTTGCGATATAGACATTCCCATCAACCTTCCCCAAACTACACATCCATCTATCTCAGTGACATAAGAAACAGGTCTCAATGAGCGTATCTCGATGTACAGCCGGCACCAGCTACACCCCCGGATATCGATACAAAAAAGAATCTTAACGAACGTTCCAACCAGCAACCCGTTCCCGCTACGGGAAGTTAGGCCCACACGGCGTATACGTTACATTGCAGCTCTCCTGGTACCCGATGCCGTAGCAACCGCCGCTACCGTCACCGGTGCAATGGAACAGCGTCGTCTGGCGGTTCCAGTCACCGAGCTCGTAGACGATAAAGCCCCGGGAGCCGGCGCAGGTACCGCAGTAGTCACCAGCTTCGAACTGTGGCTGGCAGGTGCAGGAGACGTCCTCCTGGCGGGGGGCAAGGTCCGTGGGGAGGGCGAGAGTGAAGGTTAGGAGGAGCGGGAGGAGGATAGTGCTGATGTGCATGCTTGTGGTAGAGGTCTCTGAGATTTAGTGTATATAGAAGTAGCGGGATAAGGAGGTTGCGCTGCGGGTGGGAGGTGAGAGGTGAGGGAGAGGTGATAGTACCGTCGCTTTTATAGCATTTAGAAGTTGGCTCACAAGTGCAAAATCGAGTACTAGGTATCGTGTGCGCCGAACAGCCAGCTAGCAAGGTTACAACTAATAGTTCCTCCTTAGAAGCACCGATTAGGAGGGGCGAGCCTGATGTTTCTTTGATAATCATTCAGATACGAGCCGCCAGCTTCCGGGCGAACTACCGACCTGCAGACCAACATGTAGACCAAACAGCGTGCAGCATTCCAGCGGACGTGTATGGAACTCAAGCTTTTTGAGCCTAGTCACGGAGTACATATATTATATCACCGCACACCCCATCCGTCGTGGTGGGGAGGCTGCAATGCACGGAGGGAACTGTTGAGTGATACAAGCTTTTGAGCCAAGGATTACACCCTGCGCACGAGCCAGGGACCAGTGACGAGTCGTAACGTGCATGAGACATCCCTGCTCCTATGTACTATTCTTACTACTCCATAGCAACCAACGGCTTTCATCAAATCGATCGCCATACCTTAAAGTGCTACTTCAGGGAAACCTAACTTCCTCACTCGTATTTGATCCGAGCGCCAAGTAGCAAGTATCTGACTGTGTTGCCTCCCCGCGAGATGCAAACCCCCTCTAGCCACCCGACTCCTCCGACCTAACATGACTCTCCAGCAAGGGGTAAAAATGACAGGTTATATGGTGTGTGCGGTGTTACTCGTATCGATCGTTTTATTGCAGATCTCTACTAAAGATAGACTACTCGTAGTGGTACAGGGGATTAGTAATCTTGCATGGATCCGTTAAAGGAGTATTTTTAACTCCGAATCGGACAGGTGTAAAGCGAAGTGCGGAACGGGAGTGGATAGCCGGGTGGATGTCGCATGATTGAGAAGGCGGGAACTCGGAGTCGAGTTTGAATGTTATTATGTATACCACTAGGGCAAGACTTGTCCTAGGTAGCACTATAGACGGTCATGTCGAACTACCTAAGTGGGGGCGAATATCGGACATAAGCATGTCATGGGAAGCCATATCAGATATCTGCATGGCATAGAATTTGTGTATTAAGGAGCATATATATCACTCTCTACTAAATTCCGTCCGCGAAACGATCTGACTTTCTGAATCTACCACCCGACCCCCGAGTGACAGTTCATGATGGGTCTGTACTGTTTCTAGATGTAGCCTTTCGCTTTTTAAAGCCGGTAGACGCGATTCTCCGTTACCCCCAGGGGGATTGGGGCTTCTATACGCTGTCTTATATGTCCAGTACGTACAGATTTACACACTTTCGGGCATATCACAATGCATACCTCCACACGGCGCCCTAAAGGATGAGGCGTAAGGAAAGCGATCCCAACAGCCGAAAAAAAGTAGACGTGACATCACCCCGTATGCAATCTAGGCTCAAGGATCTCCGTATGGCTCAAACCTAGTTGCTGTTTCTATTTTCGAGGTAGGTTTAGCTATGAGCCCTATCCCCTCAAGCACTGAACAGTGCAAGCTGGTCGTAGATTATACGCCAAGGTCTAACCGTCCGCAGTATTCTACTACTGCCCTTGGTCTAACGCCTTCGAAATGGGGAGGAGTTTGAGTTGCCTGTGCTGTCGCGGGAGAGGCGAGAATGGCTGTTCCTTGTTAATGTCAATTACCAGGATCATATGTTACTTTCCTTCGTCAGAGCTCCCGTGATATTGACTTTCCTTTTAGCACGATCTCTTTTGTCTTCTACTCTCTTTCTTTCCTTTCGTTATAAAGGCTTGTGTTCTGCTCATGTCTAGTCGAAAATAATCGGAATACAAGAGTGTTAAAAGAATTGCTGTGATATCCGCGCGGGGGGATTCTGTTATTTCCCTGTGATGTTTGATGTTTGCGGCTTTGGTGTAATGTACACTCGGGAGGAGCTAAGCCACCTGGCTTGATATTAAGATACTCTAGTATCACTCTCGGTGGTCTCGGCGGTCTCATCTGTTGGCCCTTAAAAGTTGAAATTATATTTTCGTAGGGTTAGGGTTTGTTACATTTTATTGTTAGTAACTTGTGCTACGGCTAGAATAACGCCGGAATTGCTTTAGCTTTATGAAGTTGAGTTCGAGGCAACTCGGGTCGCCTCATGAAAGTACTATATAGTTGCTCGAGCTTTGGACTCGAGTCAGCTCTCTCGTCGACCACGATAAGGGGAGGCGGGGTGAGCTCTGATCGTGCTTCGAGAGGTGGATCTGTCCTACTTAATTCTGTTTATGGGGAGATTGTGGTTAGGAGTTGTATAGCCGGTGGTTGGGGTTTCGCGTAGAGCTTAAAAGAGTCTGTTGGCGGTACAGGAGGAAGTTATATACAAACCCTTGGGGAGGTAATTATAGGAATGTTAATATTAAGCTTGAGCGTTCTTGTTGTTGAGTACAGTGGCAATTTCTTATGGGGGCAATCGAATTTTCAGACTCTGATATGGTTTGGGGGATATCCTAGCTCTCAATTGGAGGCAGGAAATGAGTAGTCTGACTATAGGGAGAGATGCCCGGTAAAATAAACAGTTGATGTTCTGAGTTCATGCGCTGTCCGAAAGCCGTCCCATACGGATGAGGCTTAGAGACATTGGGGCGAACTTGGCCATTTCGGCTACTAAGTCTTGAGGACAGTATTATATCGCGACAGATCTCAAACCAGTCCCGAGACAGGAAATACGTTTTGTCGAGGTGTTCGGAATGACAAAACCTCAAGACATCTCGTCTCATGAAGACCACTATATAGTAGCAGGATAAAAGGAGGGAGATAGAATGCTTGAATTGAATAGCAGGGTGAGCTGATTGTTTTTAGTCTTTGAGTAGAGATTCAGGTGTCTTGGCGTTATCTTACACAGGTCCAAGGCTTAAAAACCAACAAACGTGTAGTTATAGGCACGAGACCAGTTATCTCGAGACATTTCACGCCTGTATACGCAGGCCTAGCCCTTTAGATGAGAACGGAAGTCTCACAACCCCCCCCTCCAAACATGAATATTCTCTCATCCGCCGTTTCCTTCCCCCAAAAATCCAAGAGGTCCCACGCGCTCGATTTGCTTCAATTCGCATGATTACCAAGCATTCTCTGTCCTAATACCACATTGCCTAAAGTCTCGAGATTGGCCTTCCCACCGACTGGTATGCTTGTCCGATGCATGAAGAAGAGCTCTGAGTGTGAGAGGCGCGGGGCCGTAGTAGGTGACCTGCTGGAAGAAGTGCTTTAAAGATGATGATGTTATTTCTTCCGGGAACAGTCTAAACCGATACACACCCCGATGGATGTAATGTATGGTACGCGACGAAGAGCATCGAAAGTACCCAAGAATCGTGTCTCTTGCGTAAAGTCTGAACAAGACTAGGCGGAAGACGACATCCTGAACCTGCCATTTTGCGTCTGGTTATGTCATCGAAATTCGGACGCTGAGGCAGAATAGATAGGGGAGTGACACAAAAGGCTTTGAATATCTCGTCTTAACAGATGTGTGTAGATTAAGTATGCATAGTATGTGACTCATTTAACAACCTGGTATCACCGCACCCTCACAACAAAACACCTGTCCTTCCCCCACAGCTGGGCAGGCCTTCCAATGGGCTCGCCCGGGCCGGACAATGCCCCAGCCCGGCCCAGCCCAGCCCATAAAGCCGCGGCCCAGCCCAGTCCAGCCCATTTAACAAACGCCCGGGCTAGGCCAAAGTAGCCCATAAATCGGGAATATAAATCTAAAGTGCATTAAATGATTAAAATAGATGCAGTTCAACTTTTCTCAGCACATTTAATCTTTTTTCCATCTACAAAATGTATTTTGGTGTTCGAAAAATGCCAGTTTTCCTGCCCAAGCCCAGGGAACATAGCCCGGGCCCGAAAGGACACCGGCCTGGCCTGGCCCAGCTATGTAAATAGAGGCCCAACCCAGCCCAGCCCATTAACAGCCCGGGCAAGCCCACATAAGACGGGGCCCATTGGAAGCCCTGCAGCTGGGGTGGCATGGGGTTCCCGGGTACTAGTGCGCGGGGGAGCTACAATAGTGGGGAGTATAAAGTTAACCTCTGACATGTGTTTGAGTAGGCTAAACTAATCTGCGATGGGCTTGGGTGATCACAATGAAGTATGATCTATGAGGATACTCGGGTAGTGGGATAAAAAGCAAAAGGTGTGATAGGGTTGTTTGTATGGCAGAATGGCGCCACTTCTTACAAATAATCTCTTATCGTCACTTGCATTATTCCGGTTCTTATCTCTACATCCGAGATATTTTTGTCTTTTTTATCAATGAAACCTGCTCATATGAGAGGTTATCATCTGGGCGAGGGTTTCGCATAGAGCGGATTTCACTCAATAAACTCGATATTGAAACTTCTAGGTAAATAATCACTGAGAACCTTTGCATGCTTCCCAGTATTCATACTCTCCCAAACGGAACAACCTCCCAACCCGTAGTAAGGTGCCATTGAGTTCGGCGGACAAGAATAAACTCAATATATTCGTTAATATGTATCAATTCGTGGAAAGGTACCACATATGATTGGTTATCGATCTAGGTAAACTATGCGCACAGCTGCCAGGAACCGTCTACAGAGGGAATCCTTCTTCCGGACAACGAATAAACCTATGAACTCTCGCTGTTCTTAAAGCACAGAGAACCTCGTGAGGGCCTAGCCTATCAAGACAGCGGCGACTTATCCCATTAATTAGAGGCTGTACAAAGCAGTAGTGAGCTCACGAGGTACGTGTACAAGCAAGAACACCTCCGGAGGTGTCGGCCTAGCTGCAGGCTAGCCTAATCACAGATAGACGACGCCACTTTCCTTGGTACTCGAACATCCCCTCATTCAATGGATGAGAACAATATAGAAGGCGGTTATAAGAAGATTACCTACCCTTGCGTTAAATATTTGAAAAAAAGGGGGGGGGGAGGGCCAGGGTTAGGTTTGTCACCAGATTCCACCAGCTGTCTTGGCGGCACACGACTTTGCCCTGGGGCCACTGGCGCAGTGGCTACATACATGTGGGTGTTCCATGAAGGAGGGTTGGCCTCCGCTGGTACTCTGGGTACAGGTGGTGGCGCGCTGACATCACAGTACATACAAGTACAGTGAAAAACCCGAGCGGGAGTGTCAAGGATCATTGCGCCATTCGTACCTCAGAACATGCAAGCGGCCCCCCCTTGCTCACCCCGACCTAAACCATTACCTGAGTGAGTCATTGAACACAGAGGATTCTTACCACCTTTGGAGAAACCCTAGGACGTATTACTGCATCTGGTCATCGCCGCTCGTGTTCGTGCCCTCCCAGCTGGGCTTGTGTAATCTCAGTTACGGTAGGGTTAGGGCTTTGCGCTTTGTGGCTAGGTCTCTCCGCTGAGGGACTTGCGATCATGCATTATCTTCCGGTATGGGCTGCAGTAGATGCGGGGTTTTCCTCTGGCGCGAGTCTGGCCGGTATATATGTAGACTGTGTGGAGACTGTCTCTGGATACGATGCTTCTCCCGCTGGTACTATACGCTACTTTGTGGATAGTGACGGCGGTTGGGGGTATGGAAATTGTAGTCCTGTTTTTCTTATGAAGAGAGCACTCGCTCACTAGAATGTGAGGGCCGACCAACCGCTTGTTCTCCCGGGATTTCGGCAGGCAGGACGCCGTCCCTGTTTCGTGTTGTCGGAATGGCGGGCGGTGTAGGTTTTTGTGGGCCCGGGGAGCTAGTTCCCGCCAGATTATTGACAATTCTTGCCGCTTTATTTTATAATCATATTCCGGTGATTAAAGAAATCAGTTTATGTAGCGAGACCCAACTACCGACGAGTTTGCCACAATGTCCCCGACTCACCCAGACGGACAACCTCAGGGGACAGTGTAACCCGCCCCCGGAAAGCCCCGGAGATCCGCTCAGAATCTGCAAGTTATGTAATCCATTTTAAAAGTACTCAAAGGTTCCATTTAGAGCCACCTCACAGTCCTACAATCCCATATACCACCAACCCACAGTTTCTCCCGCCGAGGTCACCCCCAGCACCCCCCCGGTACTCTAGAGACGAGATCTTGACCTCCCCGCCCGCTAGATCAGACTACGTAGGAGTCTTCCCGCGCGCTTGCGTTTCGCAGCTACGTTAGGGAGGGAAATGTCCGGTTCGGAAGGGGGTTGGGGGGTGGAGGCGCGGGACTCCGAAGGGCGTGGGGCTAGGAGGAAGCTCACCACGACACGGTAGCTTGGGATATACCTAGACTGCGGGCGCCGTTGAAACTTGGTAGATCTGGCCCACTCCATTGGCCGTCGACCGCTGGTAGCCGTCGTCCCTGCTGAACGATGCGTACTATCCCTCGACAGTTTGATCTATCGGAGGGTGATGAGTGGTACTCCATGTAGCATACCGCGGTAGATAAATCACATGGATTGCAGGGCAGGGCGCTGATATTCGGTAGTGAATCCATATATATTCTCATTGAGGAGCTAATTACTAATGTGTTCGGGCAAGATTTTTATGATTTGTACTCTTGCATGAATTTCCCACGCTCCCCCTAAGTACGTATATCTTTGAGTGTTTCTAGGTACATACTTGAGTCATTCTTCAGTTGCGTTGACCTCCATTCGCATTCACCTTGTATATCGATTTGACCGATGGTGCACCGTCTGTAGACCCCCGGTATATGGAACGGTCGACCACTACTCCGTACCGTTCGGCAGGCTTGACGGACAAGGGTGGGTGTGTTGCTGTATGGATAGAGAAGATATAAGGATATGGTCGATCGGGGATAGGGCGGTTGCAGGTGAAAGGGTAACTATATCCCAACAGGCGCGATTAATTGTGTTATCATGGGGCATTGACCATACGGACGGACCGACGGAAAGGTGGGGAATAGAAGCCAAGATGACACGATCTGATTCCTACTTAGCGGTTTGTACCGACCGTACTGTCTTTGTGCTCGGGGGTAACGTCGTCAATAACCAAGAGTACTCTATTGCATGCACCAACCCTTGCTAACGAGAGGTATAAAACACAGTATAGACCACCATCCAGAGCAAAAACAACCACCCAGTCCAGTGCAGCGGCTCTTCAGGCCATATTCCAATTGCCAATTACCCCACTATGTCTGTTTCACGATCAGCAAGAATGACGGAATAGGTTGCTTTGCAGTGATATTCTCGATTCATTGACAGTCTCCCCTCTGATCATGACAAATACAGTGAAGTCATGAATGTCCCAAGACAAGCTCATGGGTGATTATTATATTCTCGGGCTTACAACTCTAGTGAAATTATCTCCGATGGGCAGGGACAGGAGCAGTTCCCACAAATCCAAGGTGGTCTGAAATTATCACTTGACCCCGAAGTCAGTATTATCTGCCTCCTGCCTTTGGGTGATAACTTTAGCTACCTAGTGTGTGCCCTTGAAACAAATAGGCTTGATTGGTGGCACACCTACCTACCTACCTACCTATTTCATTCAAAGGGCCGCTGCTGGGTGCCGATGATTTTCGAAGCCCTTTCAAGTTCAAATCATTTCGAGCACCACCGCGCCAGATCAGTCTACGAAGAGGTCATACAATCAAATGACTGCTTGGTTTCATCGACCTTCTTCCCCTTTTTACCGGAACACCTCCCACACGGGTGATGTTGCTTTCTGGAAGGAATTAGTTCAAGTGGTAAAGAGTCCAGTTATGTTTTAAGCCTTACCTTTCACATGCCCCCCCTCTTACCAGCGGTACTTCGCGGGAAGGGGAATGTTAACAACCAGGGCAGACCTATTTCAATGGTCTAATCCCGCGGCTGGGGTATGTGACATTCTTTACTCTCTCCGCCCTGCTGTTGGCAACATGCAAGGTTGGCTGCTAAATTCCTTGAATCATAAAGGCCGTAGAGTTTCTCACTTTTGCATCTTACCTGCCTAGACCTACCATGTGATATGCTGGGCCGATAGCTGCTCGCGGGGCACCGTTAAATTCGTAGCTTTTCCTTCAACCTCTATAGCGCCAGAGATAGAAATACCCACTGCCGAGAATCGGGGTTTAAGTACTTTTTCGAAAATCGGGAAGGGCTAATACACTATTACTCAGACCTCCCCTCATTTGTGCCTAACGACCTCTTCAGGAACTTGGCCTCAGAGCCATAAAGGGTCAAGCCAATGGTGGGGCGCTGGGAGACCACTCCGGGCCACCTCCGGTCCGTACAGAAGCTCGACCGCGGGGGGTCACTGATTTCTGAGACCCCGGCCCATTTCCCGATCCTTGCGGGCCTTTAAAGACCACAGACACGTAGCTAGTCGGCACGGTCTTCAAAGCCGGCGAGGCTTTTTAATATTGCACTTACCTGCGCTAGGCATACCTGCTTCTTGCTCCCCCAGCCCGCCGAGTTGCTATCCCTAACTGTTCGAAAGCGTATCGTCCAACTTCCCCGGACACCTGAAGCTAGCCTGTTGATATCGGACTTACCTTGCGGGATAGCAGTTTTCACCGCCTCTGTGGAATGGACTGGGTCGCGGGTGGGTATTTTAGTGGTATGCAGGCTCAGCCCAATCCGGAACCGCTAAGAGATGCAGAGTTTGTCCGCGCCGAGCGAACTGACCCGTGAGAACTCGAGAGAATACGAGTGCCGGCGTTCCACTATGCCTCCCGGTGATTCTGTGGAAGAGGTTGACGTACCTTTAAAGTCCACAAACTTGGTTGATTCCGCCCCCCCCCCCCCCCCCCCCAGTGATTCCAACGGTTGAAACCGGTTGTATTCGGATGTCATACCATACCGAACTGAACTGAATTACATCTCCAACTGAACTGAACTGAACAGAACTTAATATTGGTTTTCTCAACCGGTTTAAGAACTAGAACCGTTCTTTTGTTTGGTTTGCAGGTTCAGAAATTAAATGTGTTTTCAGAGTCCATTCCTTGGTTTATTAGGTGGCCCAAAAATCGGTCAAGGTCAGGAAATACGTCCTCTATGTGACAGGTACCTGTATGATAAAATCGTTTAGTAAACCGGTTTGAACTGGTTTTTGATTGTGATGAACCGTTCAAACCGAATTAGCTCAGAAGACAAAAGCTGAACCGAAATATTAACAAAACCGGTTTACTAAAACCGATTTGTTCGGTAGAACGGGTGAACCATTGGAAACCCTGCCCCCCCCCCCCCAAAGAAAAAAAGAAAAAAAGAAGGAAAAAAATAGAAGGAAAAAAAAAAAGCGCCGAACCACTACCCATACCTCTCTAGTTCCTATGAACCACACAGCGGCAGAGCTAGAGCTATACCTAGCATTGCTAATCTCGCACCATACCTCACTCCCGAGTGTTAACTGGACGGGGTCTGCCCAGAGCCTTTATGAAGCCGCGACTATTTCTTCCACAGCGTACGAGCTGGCTGCTACCCCGTACAGAAATCGGGTCGGCAATGCCCACCACCGGTAGTGATTGGCGAAGAAGTCGCCGCAACCTTTAAGGCCCACAGACTTGGTTAATAGTTACTCCTCTCACCTACCGTAGTCTTTGTGGCCTATTGAGCTCGATGGCGGACGAAATATTACTAGAGGAGGCTTACATCTGGTACTCTAGGAGACAACTGGGGACGCCCACGAAGGTGGGGAGGGTTAGAGTTTCTGTTTTCACAGCTCCCCTTTCCCCCCCTTGCCACCTCACGGTGGGTGGTCTTTTAGAGCCCATGAGTACTTTCCTTTCCTGGCTGTTATCGTTCGTAACAAGAAAAAAACTCCAGGAAAAGACGAATTACTCTCCGATGCCCTCGATTCTAGTTTTGGCCGATGAAGTTTGCACAATGTTTAAAGCCTATATACCTGGTTAGTAGCGACTCCGACTTACCTGGTCTGGTCCTAAGACTCCCGTGCGCAGACGCAGAGAGAACCCCCGTCTGGGAAAATATTGGCGAGGTTCTTCCCTCACAGGTGGATTGGAGAGTGTTGCGAAATGATACCGACGGCCGGGGTGGAGTTTCTCTTCCGGAGGTGCACTTTTTTCTGTGGCCTGCCTCGCGGAGGAAAAGGCTATATCGCGCGTGAAACTTCCGGTTGATAAGAAATCACTATATAGAACAACATGGTACCGGCATCCGGGTTGGGTACACCACAGACAACCCCCGCCACAGGTTCCTGTTGACAGCTTGAGCAGTTTACTAGCTATTCTACAGGCACCTATAGGAATAAATCCCAATGAGTATAAAATACTCCTGTTCAGTGCTGTGCAGAATTGCAACAAGCCACTCATCGAGGTACTTCTCGATATGTACGAGTACCCAGGGGGGCATAGGGAAACAGTTGGCGGTCAAGATTTAATTCTTGAGGCCTTGTACACTGCAATTCGCACCCGCAACTACGATATCGTATCCGTGTTAATCGATCGGGGATTTAAATCCGGTGAGATTAGTAAGGTTAGTCGCAGTGCGAAAGGCCATCCCTTAGACTTCCCCATTGAGAAGAGTGATAAGGAGAGGGTGTCATTGCTCCTATCTGTAGGAGCAACCCCGGATCCCATCAACATCCGGTCCTGCCTCATCAGACATACAAAAGACAATGATCTACTTAATATTCTGCTTCCGGACTGGACAGCCGAGGGTAAAACCATCGAAACTATACCCATGATACAACTTATCATGCGGCATGGGGGTCTCTGTGCGTTGGAGACACTGTTCGATAAGTGGAGTAGTACCACTGAAACCACCCTTTGCCCTGAAAAATCATCCGCTCCTGTATGGTATCAAGATCACCGCACCAAGATAGAGGCGCTGCTTTCTCGCGGGGTAACTCCTGGCCTCACCCTTATTGAGAACTGCCTAACGAGATGCAAAAAGAATAATACTCTACTTGATATTCTCCTTCCGGACTGGATGACCGAGGGTAAGGCCATCGAAACTATACCTCTGATACATCTAGCCTTACAGTCTGGCAGGTTCTGCACATTGGAACCATTATTAGACCAGTTCGGTAGTACCAGTGCAAGCATGGCACACTTCTACAAACTATCTGCTGGAATTGGCCTCGAGCAGTACCGATCACTACTATGCGAGGCTGCTGCTTTGGGTAAAAGGTCATCTCTCCGGATACTTTTGGATTATTACAAGCACCTAGTAGGTCCTATAAGCGCGTGTTACATAACACCGCATGGGCCTACCAGTGTTCCAGAAGATATACTGATTGAGGCGTTGTACGATGCGGTATCGCGACCCACAGATGGCTATGTGATCGTAAGTATGTTGGTGGATGCTGGAATAAATTTAGGTGAAGTGAAAAGAAAGAATATCCCTTGGTGGAGTGAACCGGCGGATTCTCGGTGGCCCGACCAGACATCCTCTTGATCTACCCATTACTCGTGGTGATTGTCAAATGACAGCGTTGCTTGCTAAGCGAGGGGTAATCCCAGACTGCACCGCCGTTTATGATTGCATAGCCCGGCGGGAGAAAGACAATAAACTGCTGGGGATCTTGATTCCAGACTGGATGATGGATGGTAAAGCCATCGAAGGTATACCACTCATAGATCTTGTTGCAGAGTTTGGGGATGCCTGTATGTTGGAGCCATTATTAGATCAATTTAATGACACTAGCTCACTATCGACCGTCACCGAAATCCTGTTTGATCTTGCGGTGCGTGGGGATAATGAGTCTACGAAAGCTCTTCTATGCTCGATCCCCTCAGGAAGCAACGGTCCCTTCAACCCACAGGATACGACAGAATTACGACAGACCGGACAGGGTGGCTCAGTGTCCGTTACCCAACACAGTTAGCTCCCAGTAGAACGCAGCAGGTACGTGTTCTATGGACACCATTATTGCGCAAGCTGAGGCTGGCGACGACAGCTTTCAACTGAGTATGGCATCTAATTGACGGATAGGGTCCAATTGTTGATACATCGGACGATTATAATTCCAAATATATTTTGTGAACTACCCAGAGATAAGATTTTCGAGCGATGGAAAGGGGAACACCAAGAATGTTTGATACAGGTGGTGTTGATGTTCAGAGGCGTAGGAGAAGGTTCGCACAGCGAACCTGTTTGAACTATATTCTTCAATAAATCCTCTCCAATACAGGATATATACAAATGTACACAACCACTTCCTACTCCGCCATCGATTGAGGGCCTCCAGATAGTGCGAAAACCGTGAAAGCAGCTACTCAAACCTTACTGCCCGGGGCGTCAACTAAATGATTAATCAGGCCAGTAATAAATAAATTTCCAAACAACTGGCCCTTAAGGTGCATCCTTGCCCAAGAAGCTGAATACGTCTACTTTATATGGGAGTACCTCGGACCGAATACGGACCGTTTAATTTTCATGACACGAGTTTTGGCTCCGCTATCCCCGGACGAATCGAGTAACAACCCGGCTGATGAGTTGGATATCGAGAGTGCTCGTTTCTATGGTAGTAACAGTAGTTTTAAGGAAGCTTGTCCCCTACCAAGGTGGTTCTCAGTTATGAGAGTCGAGTGAGATAGTATGACCGAGTGATACATTGTGACATATCCTCAGCGCTTCAGGCAGCATGCGAATACAGGTAATGCGTAGGGACTTGGAATATTCCGCATGTTTTGAGATAGTCGACCGTCAGATAGGCTTCACCCATAAAGATTACAGTCGGTTCAACAGGATTGTTATTCGTTGACGAGATAACTGGCTTAAATCCTGAACAGTTTGTGGCATAAAAACAACTGGGGTACTCTCAAATATTGACTACTTATGTACCTATATCCCGGAGTGGGCCAAACAACAAGATACCGATCACAAACTTGCAGAGCCACAGCTGGAGTAAACGGCAAAATCCCGTAACACCCTCTGATAAACATGCCTGCGCTGCCCGACGGAACGTTGGATTCGCGCGTAGTTGCTCTCCCGGCATCGCCGACACGGCCGGCCGTCCGAGCAAACGGCGAAAAAATGGGACGGGAGGGGCGGGAAGGGGGGGCTAGTTGGGCCAGAATCGGGGACGTAGGGGAGGTGGTGGGGATGAGGGTTGACCACTAACCCGCCTCACTACATTACCTTCATACTGGGTATGGGCGGGCGGGCAAGCCGCGGTGGCCAGAGCTTGGTTCAGGAGTTCCCATCCGCTCACTCCACCGGAAGTGGCCAAAACGTGATGGGTCAGTCTTTCTCACGTCATTCTCATCATCGGGTGGTTTCCTCCTCCAGTCTTCCATATGTAGACCTGAAAATTAAGACTATATATAGGGTATCATAGTATAGTCGACGGGACGAGTTAACTCGAGTCCTCGACTCGAGCCCAAGGCTCGAGCAGCCACGGGCAGCTACCCCCACGACCCATGTTGGCTCGAGCTTTTTCTACTACTCGACTTGAAAAGCTCGAGCTTTGGGGTGTTTATCCCTGAATACCCCGCCCGAATCCATACTAAATTGCCCATATTATCCTTCCGGCATTTGACTTGTCAACCCTAACCCTGACAACACATGTTTGCACAGAGATTTTTCTCTTCTTGTTGTTTAGTTCATTAATCTTATATATTTCTACAGAGAGAGCTAGAACGATTTCTGGAACTCTCACCGGTGCCGCTGAAAAGCTCGAGCTCATCTCGAGCCACTCGAGCTTTTGCAAGTCGAGACAAGTCCACGAGTCATGGTCAAGCATTTCCGCCTGCTCATCTCGAGTCTGCTCGTCGACCACACTAGGGTATAATCATGATTAACGGCCGGGACCCTCCGGAACTAAGTCGGTGTTGTGCGTATGCTAGTTCCGCTCCCTGAGTCTTTTCTCGTACGTACACTCATTCCCCCGCCGCGCAGGGGATAATGACACTGACAACATAGTCGACAACACGCGCTCTACCATACCGCACATAGCAATAGAAGGCTGGACTTCAAACAATAGAAACCCGACTCGTTAACCTCGAACATTACCATGTTCGGATGGTTCAATGCACATCGGCTGGATGCTGGCTTACTGACAGAGGAAAGCGTTGACTTAGCCCGCGTGCGGACTGTCGAGGTAGTTGTTAAGGGGCGAACTAACGTACACTAAATATTCTTAGGAATCGCTCTATTCCGTGTGCATAGCGCTGGTTATCAAAAAGGTTCACAAGCAAGAGTGACAGTCAACCTCCCCACGGCCCCGCACTGTCATTCACCTATATAACACTTGCGCCATGCATCACCAAATATACCATATTCTATTCTATGTAGTCAGCTTATTGCCTAGCTAGGATAGTTGTCGGGAAAAGACAAGTTATCCTATCCCGTTAATCACCATCCCGGTATTTTTGTTCAAAGAAAAACACAACTAGTAGGTTGAACCTTATTCATCCAACGCCTTTCCTTACATTGGGATAGATATTCTCGAAAGTGTAAAGACCTAACCACGACCTTAGCTGCCAGTTAGGCTCCCTCGCCACCCTCCTGAACCGACTGGACAAGGCAGGAACACAAGATCAAACTAATGGTACCGTAGCTGTTGACCCCTAAGATATGGTCCATACCCCAACCAGCGCCCTGCTCTTCGGAAACCAGGCCGCCTTTGTGTAGAGTATATGGTAGATCTCAATCCCCAGATGTCTATTTCCATCATCGAGATTATACGTTTCTATTCCCGTTAGCATATTCTTAGCCACTACCTGGCATAGCGCTTCCCGTCTGTAGCAAAATAGTAGACGCAATAATCTCGTGCCCAGAATGTGCCGACACCGGCACAGTCTGGTGTAATAGGTCTTTTTCGTTTGGTGACTTATTTTCCCGGAGATATTAGCGTCAGAGGGCTCTCGCGGAGGCTTTTCGGGGGTATTTTGTATGGGCTCAGCACCCCCCGAGAATACCCCGAACTAGCGTAAAATCTGAAGGCTCGCGGGGGTTTTCTGAACCTTAAATATCCTTGGCAAACCTTAAATCTTTGCCACTTTGCCATACAAAATCAAGTATTTCGGGGTTTTAAAATCTCTCCGAACCCCTAGACTCTCTGAGAGCCCTCGGAGTCACTCGGACATTTTTCGGAGGAAGTTCCAAAAACTTATTACACCAGACTGTGCCCATAGTGCACATGGTCACACATTACACAGTGTGGGAACGAGACTAAGACGCACAGAAGTAAGACATCAATCGTCCAACCAGTTCAGCCCAGTTACCCCGCCCCGACCAGCACAACGAGTTGTCTGCCATCCACATCATAACCTCCCACGCACCAACCCAAAACCAACATGAGCACCCCCTCCTCCTACAAAGTCATAAGTCATCCAATCACACCTCGGCATCTTCCACAACTAACCATTGCAACCCCACAGGCCAGCAACATCGCCGGAGCGCTGCAGCGCGGCGAACCTTAACAGAGACACCGCAGACGCAGGCTATCGACTACACGGGGACCACGGAGTGGCGCAGGTATGCTCTCACTCACTCTTTCCTTCTGTCCACTCGGAGCTAGCAGCGAACAACTTCATGGCCAAGCCCCCAACCCTCGACTCGGGGAATCTAACTACCCTAGACATATCCCCTAGAATTATGAGCAGTTTTGGGGCCGAAGAGTCCTAAGGATAGAAGTCCGTTGGCAGGGAGCCCGAAGGCGTATGTCCATGTGGTGATCCTGCGGTGAGGTATTTGTGGATTGCTTTGGTTGGCTGATTGATCCCTGGTTGATTCTTGTAGATCGAGCTCTTCCTCGTCGTTAAAGAGGTGGACGAAGTAGTTTTGCGACTGTACGCGGGTGGGGATGTGGACTGCGGGGGTGATGGTTGACGTTGGGGGAGGGGGTCTTAGTTTCTGCGCGGTGGGCTGGTTAGGCGGTGGTATATATGTGTACCTAGCTAGCATTTTGGTCGGTTTGGGCTGGGTCATTGGTGGGGAATGGATTATTGCTGGAACCGTTACTTTACCTTCCTCTGGCCCAAAGTGCGGAAAGGAAAGGAGGCGGGACCGACGCCGTTTGTTATGTTGCTGTGCACACACGCACATATGGACTTAACCATACCCATAGATAGCGAAGAGGAGAGTCCCCCCACCGGGTTTGGATCCCCACCGCCGACGCCCGTGCAGACGTAGAGCACCGCAACATTCTGAGTGTAGAGTAGAGTACCAGTACGTACGCAAAGGAAAGACATGCAAGGCAAGCCTAGAGATCGATCCACTACCGCAAATATTTTGGCAAGCGATGCCCGCGTATGTAGAACGGGAAGGTGTCTGCACGACAATACGGGGAGAGTTTAATATAACTATATCTCATGATATTTTTTCTTTTATATGTGGTTACTAGTTGCGGAAGCATGATAAATAATTCAGTACACGGTTGATCCACAAAACGGTTTTTACAGTCGACGGGATAACGAAAGAAGGCAATATAAACAACCCTAACCCACTAAGTACCCAAAAGGTTTACTACACCTAGCCTACAATCATTTACCGTCGCTTGACCAATACTTACTGGAATTTTGGGCTAATACGGACTGGAGATATCGCAGCTTGGCGGTATCGCTTGGATGGATGGAGCTTCATGTGCGCAGCCTGGGTCGTGCGTGGTAATATTAATGCAGCCAATCAAAATCCAAACGTGCTCATAGATATGGCCAGTATTAGCTGAAGGATTAAGGCTGCGAATTTGAGGGCTATCATCCGTCCAAAGGTGAACTGTTTATTGGACGGTGGAGTGTCTTAGTCCTCCCATATTTCGTCCATGATTCAGACTCGAAGCGCCGAGACTCCTGTAAAGGTGGAAAATCAAAAATGATCTCCATCAGCTTGAGCTTGCTATTGGTTCATTTTTCACTCTTGCAGGACTCGGCGCTACGAGCCTGAATCACCGACGAAAAATGCAGTGGAGGACTAAAACACTCTACTAACACTATTGCGAGGAAGGGCAAGTGCGCAGAGCCAAGTGTAGCGAGTCAGGCGACGCAGCACAGCCTGACGGTGTGCTGAAATTCATATACAAGTATCCTCTGGCCCCTCTTCATACTGCACACTTCCTATCCATCATCCTCGAAAGATATCATCCTACAATCCCAATCAACCATGAATAGCACATCAACCTACGATATAGGGGTAAGCTAGTATGGGTCACACAGACAGGACGTGAGTACTAACAATATCATCAAGACGGAAGACGCCATGAGGGCGCTAGAGCGCATAATAGCCCCGGTAGCCAGCGATCCGGCTGCACAACCCGAGACTGGGTATGCCTGACTCTTCTCCCTGCACATACTTGGAAATATCAGCTAGGAGCAGTAGCTAACTATCATCCATTTTCTTGCCAGATTCACCTCAATTTCAGGGGGGATCCGGTACCGCGCGCACTGGTACTGCGGGAGATGCGGGTTCGGACCGCATGACCCAAATCTACACGGAATTTGTATCGAATGTGGCGCTGTTCCTAGCTGATTAGGATGCTTGATTCGGGGGTGATGCGCACGCATGGGGAGTAGCCAGCTAGCCTACTATATGTTACGTAAACAGTTGTAGGCTCAGAAGGAGTATTGTGAATGACATCTCGAGTTTTGTTACCAATCGTATATTATGTCCTATAATAGGTCCCAAGACCAAGTGAAAAGTCCCCCCGGCCCCGCTCTCCCTGGCTGTCCCCGCCGGTTTCGAATCGTCTCTCAAGGCAAAGCCCCGAGTTGTCTCGTCTTGTGTGTTGCCCATCACTAACCCATCGACCGAGCGAAATCAGTCTTAGAATACGCTATATTATTGCACGTACCCAAGCATTATATATTAGCTTCTATATGGGACGACACTCGGCGGCATGCTCTTCCTAGATCTTCTCCTTCACCATCTCTTTCTCCATCTACATCCGCAGGATTTTCCGCCTCGTGAGAAACATCCGGGAGTGCTTGTAACTACATCAAGAGGTTTTAATCAACGTCACTCACCAATCATGAAAACGGACGGCCCCCGCACCCTCCCGCGCCGGCAAACCTTAACCCAAGCTAGGCGACCTCGCGCTTTTCCTTTGTCATCGGTGGGTGGTACTGGGTTGGGTTGGTTGGGGCACTCTGGGTGTTGCCGTTCTGTTTGGCAGCGATGCAACACCCGAGTAGTGGTGCTAGGTACTCGCTATCAACCATAAGAACCTGAAAATGCAGCGTGACCGCGCCGGGCCGTGACAGGGAAGTGCCCAGGGTGGTGACAAGGATTCGGGTATCAAAATGGAACGTAGTAGAAATGAGAGCAAACGGCGATGGAATGTTGTAGAGAGCAGGCGTTGTAGAGAGCAAACGAAAATAAGAGGTTGTAGAAAATAAAAGAGACCATGACTGATGTAGAGCTCTCGTCCTTCAAATCCAAATCCATTAGTTTATTTCTTCCGTTGGGATTTCTCAAGGGGGCGAGTGTGGCGAGTATTCCGCAGGGTACGTTACGTGAAGGTAGAAACTGAGGAGTTAATATAACGATGGAGATCCGAAGTAGATTCTGATTTGGGTATGGGTCGAGGGAGTCAACGAAGTAATAGCACAGTGGTCTCCTCAGAAGAGGGGAGAGAATAGTGATTGCAGAGTAATAGACAGTGTAGATACAGAAGATGTTGGGTATCAAAGGAAAAGAAGAGAAAGAGAACAGGAGCGAGGGCAACGCCTACTAATATACTAGGGCCCCGTGACAAACTCAGAGCTGGAGTTATAAACTGCGTCATAAACTCGGACTGTCATCTGTTTTTAACTGAAAACTGTCATAAACTCAGACTCAATTTTCTAATTTTGACCACCCAAATTATCCTAACCCACCCTAAATACCAATTTTTGCCCTAAAATTACCCTAGCCCACTCCCAAAATGGCTGTTGAGTTTATGACCATAACACCCAGGTTTTCGACAGCCAGTTTTTAACCAGTTTAAAACTGTCTGTCATACATTCAGTTTAAAACTCCCGAGTTTCTCACGGGGCTCTATAATATACCCAAGAAAACCCCAGCGATGACAAATCTGATGTGACTCATACCCTTGCGACCAACAAAACCCGATAGAAACCCATAAAACCTTTCTGACTAATCCAACCCTTCGTAACCCAGTGTGTTAACCAATTGATCCATGAAAGGATTTCTCTGTTCAAATGCCAGTAAAAACCCGCGAGGGTTCTTATAGACAAAGAGCATATATACATGCTCTTCGGTCCAATGCAAAATGGACAATCGCGAAAATTGCTAGTACTCAGGGTTTGTCTGTTGGCACCGTTTGGAATATTTGCCAAGGCCCTGTTATACCCAAGAAGAAAAAGGCCGTCCTCCTAATCTTGAATCGCCCTCCCGTCAACACCTTGTAGAACGAGCAACTTTCAATGCTGTTCAACGTCGCAAGCCCTTCCCCCAAATTGAACAAGAATGCGGCACCACAGCCAACGATCGAGTCCTCTATAAAGCACTTCGAAAAGAAGGCTATGTACGATGAGTGTCTAGAAGAAAAGTTTTTCTGACAGCTACACACAAAGAGAAAAGACTGGTGTTCGCACTAGCACATCGGCACTGGACAGCGCATGATTGGAGGAAAGTTATTTGGATAGTTGAGTGTTATGTGTTTCTTACAAGTGGGGCTAAAGGCAAGACCTACGTGACCAAAAAGATTGGAAAGGAAGAACTATTTCATGAAGATTGTCTTGTTCCTAAATTTAAACAAGTCAATTCAGTTATGATTTGGGGGGCAATCGTGGATGGTAGGAAACCAGGATTGGTTTTCTGGAATCGTGCCAACTGGGGAAGCATCAGCGCAACAACATATATCCGTTATATTTTACAGCCTAGTCTTCACCCCTTCTGGTGCCACAAAAGTGTTGATTTAGGTTCGTGATTCTTTTTTTTTTTTTTTTTCTTTCCTACCAGATCACTAATTATATTTAGGTTCGAGATTGTGGGTAATGGAGGATGGTACACCTGCACACAGGGCTCAGTCTAAACAGCTGGAAAGGTGGTGGTATAATATGCCATCTATAGAATAGCCTGCATGCTCACCAGATCTGAAGCCTATTGAGAATGTATGGGGACTTCTGAAGGGCCGTATTGAGAACAAACCTAGACCTACTAGTGCAGAAGGGATGAAACAGATGGTTTTGGAGGAATGGCATAGGATCACGAGGGATGAGATTTTAGGATATATAGATACTATGCCAGATAGGATTGAAGAGGTAATTGCCAATAATGGTAGGCATACGAAATGGTAGAATAGTCAGCAATGGTAGGATAGTTATTTTGTATTTAGAACTATGAACGTCAAACTCCACTCACAAACCATCACGAACTCTGTCCGGCCATGGCCTGATGTTCCATTTTGATATTCGCTACCCTGGGCGCTTCCCTGTCACAACCCCGGCCCGATCACGCTGCATTTTCAGGTTCTTATGGTTGATAGCGAGTACAGTCGTTTCTGGCTCAACGACGAACCCGGCTCGATGACGAGTGGCTACTTTTTCGGCGGATAGTCAGTCAAAGCAAAGGGGTTGGGACGCTTTTATTGGCTTTTGTTGGCTTCGATTAGCCTACTCGCCATCGAACTGGTTTCGTCGTTGACCCAGAGACGACTGTAGTACGTTCGTGGTGAAAGCCACATATGCGGAAGATGCCAAGTGCCGATTGCTACCAGGTTCTGCTGCGATAAGATAAGTGAAGCTAAGCGAACCCCGCCATTGGCCGATCGATCGATATGCAGGAACAGACGCGTGTGGGGTTACGGATCTGTGCATGCGCAGGGGTCAAGATGTGCAGGGGGCGGAAACGTCAACGTCAAAGGAAGTCAACGTCAATTGTGGCTAAAATTTTTAGAGGGGGACGGGAGGCTACTCTTTCTGGGCACGCTTTCATTCGGGGCGCTGTGACGATCACGGGAGTTCGAAAGTGCGTTGCGGACAGACGATTTAAAACTGGTAAACAAGGGATATAATGAGCGCTTGGTGTCATGGTCATTCTTAGACAGTAAGGACGGACGGGAAACTAAGTTATAATGAAGTGTCTGTAATTGTGACTTAGATGCTTCTGTTGACGATGATTCTAAACGAGGAGAGCAGAGTCTCTGGATCTTAATCTAAGCTAAACTCACCACCTATCGTACTTTCTCTACATAACTACAACTTGTCCACTTACTTAGCACCTCTCTCAGTCTTATTGCTAAGTCTCGCCAATCTCAACCCTGTTATTTCAATTCAGGTACTCAACTCAGCATACCGCACATAATCCATAATTCAGCCGCTGGTATATAGTCGATCTTCTGTATATAATTAGGGACATTATTGGAATATTCCTCAAGTCTCAAAGCTCCCTAGGACCAGAACCGCATAATACAAAACAAGACGAGACTTCACTTGATATCGTCTCGTCTCGTACCCAGGAATCAACGGGAATCTTGTTGTTAAACAGACTCGGTGTAGTATCGAGAATATTCTTAAGATTAAATATATATCATGGGGTCGAACGAATCTGAGTGCGTGACAATGGAAGAACAAAAAATGAAGAAATACATAGTAGACCAAAACCCTAACCCTACAGCAGCCGTGATTGAAAACTTCCGCCAAGGAAATATCGTTTTTTACCGACATATCAAGATTTCTGCGTAGTGACATATATATCCAAAAGATCCTTCCTTATCGAAATCTAGTAAACCCAAGCTACAAGTACGGTTAGATCCTCCCACCCAGCCCAACCCAACCCAAACTGTGAAATTCGAGTTAGGCTGAATTCATGAAGGAGTGCCTGTGTCCCAAATCCAATAGATATCCATCGGCATTTAATTAATAACAGAAGTACCTTTGAAGCCCGTGAAGATCCTGCTGTTTTGCGTTTAGCACATTTGGATGTGATCATAGGACATCACTCGACCCAACGTCGTGCTCTGGTAAATAAATAATTGTTGCGGGAAATGCACAGCTTAATTAATTAGGTCTTGGTACACGTTGCAAGAGCTACGATTTTGTAAGCGGCGAGGATATGTGTTCGTTTGGAAATCTATAAATCACTAGTCATCGTTCCTTCCATCCCCAAATTGCAATCTAAGACAGCCCGGTGATCTTCTCGACGCCAACCTAGGTTTTATCTGATAGACGAACTGATCTACCAAGGTAAATTACAAACAACAGCTTCAACCCAAATAATCTACTACTATTCATTGCCTCTGCTCCTTGAAACTATTCGTTCCTCATGTTATATCATATACACGGTTCGCACTTTGGATCCACATCATAACCGGAGGTCTCCAAGACTTCACTTTGACATCCATATAATATAATACCAGCGGCGCCGATTTTGATATAGCTTATATGACTACCGTCCTAATGTAAAGGCTGAGGAGTTTATGAGACTAATGGGTCACATGATCTATATGAAAATCAGCATCGCTAGTACAGTGATGCGTATCTTGAGTTTATCTTGCATTGTATATGCCAGTGGTTTATTCAAGTAAGGTGTGTAATATACTAACCCCCTAAAACGTTAGCTGAAATACTGGAAGACACTACTTCCCTTCTATAATCTGCAGAACGAGGAACAAAGGTCTGGGCGCGAGGCCTCTCTTCATATTTCCGGCAGATCGAAACCAGAAACGTCTCACAATACATATATTCTTGGGCCTTCCCTGTAAGACCTGCATGTAATGATGACCTATTCAAGGGATGACCGAGTCAGGCCGGGTCAGGCCGGCTAAATACATGCTAACGAAGCTACTTGTCCTCCCCGTCACAAGCGTTGGCTAACATTCCCTTTCGGTTCTTTATTAAAGCAGCGTATTAGGCCTCCAACCTCGCTTATGTAAAACAACAGAGGATGTGCCAGCGGCCAGCCAACGTACAGAACATAAAAGATCCAACTCCATCTCGAATACCCACACGTAGCGCACCTCCCCACTTCAACACCACACCACAGCTGCAAGAAAAGTGAGTTTTAAACCCTTCACTACATTTATTCTAATAGTTCACCGTGAAAACAGAAGCGTACCACTACCAGGATGAAAACCCCGAACGCTCCACCGGTAGTCCGCAACGACCATGTGCAAGAATACAAAGATCTTCTGATTTGTCTCTTCGAACATCCCCAATGGAGCTCCATGGGAGAAGGGTCACGAAACAGAGCTCTAGACGTCCTGAAGGTGGCTGCAGATACGGCCCTCGAGGCTACCGAGCTCGCACACGTCGAGGTTTTAACCCGCAACACCTTGGCCACATCTCAGCTAAAGGAAGAGACTATACCTAGCGCCGAAGATGAGTCGGACAGTGTGGCAGCGGAGATTCTCAAGATCAAGGCAGAGACCGAAAAGGTGAAAGCTGGGACAGCGCTTGCGGTAGCACAAGAGGAGAGATGGAGGGCGGAAGAACGAATGTTGCAGGCGGAGAATTCTCATAGACACTACGTCCGCACATATGGGCAAAAAAAGTTCATTATTTCATGGTCTGTCTGAGCGGTAATAAACCCGTGGTCACTTGGTAACGGGACACCCCTCAAACATCATCAAACCCCCACCACGCCGCGGAAAAAAGCGAAAAGGGAAGAAGCCGGTTGCGCCGCATAAGTGACGCAAATATATCCCCATGCAACGTTATGTAAAATCACCAAAGAACTCAATATGCCGGTGTCAGAGAGAACGATCGGCGATGCCTTATGAGCGGACAGATATTATATCCATTTCGCCTGCAAAAGAGCTAGGCTCTCTTTTGCTAGGGCGAAACAGCACTAGACAAAAATTGCCAGGCGAAAAATGATTTTTACCGATGAGATTAAAGCTGAGTTGTGTTCTGGGCTGTTCCCCATGGTCCTCACACTCCCCTTCTTGCACTTAGGAAAAGGGAGGAAAGAGAGAGGGTGGATAAGAAGGACCGATTAGGTGTCAGTTCTGTCCAATACTGTCATGAGATCTTGAGGCCATATATATCTAATAAGTATATAATGATAACCTGTATATGCAATGTGCTTTGATAGTCTTCTAATTAGTTCATTGAGAGATGTTTTTGTTTCACTTGAAACATGTTGTGTTGGATGTTAACATATGGTATTGTGCTAAGTGGTCTTAGAGTGTTAATAGGGTTGCTACTGGTTCTGGGAATCGATAGTGGTTCGATTTTAGCGGTTTGGTAGCTATTAAAGGGATATACCTATAGTTTTAACTGGAGAAATTGTCTGACTTCATCAGCAAGATTGTATAGTTGTGGCTCACCCGCGACGGTCAGGCGCGACGTCGCAACGCCGCGCACGCCCCCGAACCATCACGGGTACCAGCACAACAACTACAATTGATCCTTTGGAGAGCTGAATTTTTGTATAGTTGTTAAATAGTAGATAAATAAAAATAATTTGACATTCAATATCTTGTGTCCCAACCCCTTGCCTTTATAACAGCCTCAATTCTCCTATGCATACTTTCAACCAGCGTACCAAATAACTCATCAGGTAACAGTTCCCAGGAATGAATAAGAGCTTCCTCCATGAGGGGTTTAATTACTTGAGGGGATCTAGTATCATATAGTAAATGGGGGTAGTGCTGATGGTAGAGTCTCTTGAAGTGTACCCAAACATGCTCAATGGGATTCAAATCAAATGAATATGCAGGCCAGTTCTCAAGAACTTCAACCCCATGCTGCTCCAACCATTGAGTTGTAAGGCTGGCGGTATATACCCTAGCATTATCATGCATGAAGATTGGTCTGATACCCTTCTCCTGTAGCTCTCTCAAAAAGTTCAGTAGTGAAAACTCAAGAGTCCTGATATATGCCTCTGCATTTGTACTCCCTCCTTCCCCCACTATTACCCCATTACAGGTCCCCTTCAATTCCCCGGCAAAACATCCCCAAACCATCTTTGATGCCCCTCCTAACTTCCTGGCACCCTTAAAACATTCAGGAAGCCATTTTTCCTTTGCAGTTCTGAATACCCAAAAGGTATATGGATCTGCATATTTCTCAACACTGCACTCATCACTCCACACCACCCTCTTCCACTTTCTGATATCCCAACCTCTGTGTTCAATGCACCACTGCAGTCTTCTCCTTTCATCATATGGGGTCAGCTTGGGCATCTCAGCCATAATGTGCTTTTGGACACCAAATGTAGCTAGCCTCCTCTTGATTGTGCTAGTTGAAATCTGTACTGCGAATTCCTGGCGGAGTTGCTCATATGGGATTGTCCTCTCACGTCTACTGCAGATGAGGAGCTGTGTATCATCTCTAGCAGTAGTGATTTTGGGTGTCCCATATTTGATTGTGGGTCTAACTTGACCGGTATTCTCATACCTTGCCAGGGCATGGACAAGGGTTGACTTTGGTACTTTGAGGAGCTTAGTAATCGATGAATAAGAGCCTCCAAACCACTTTATTCCAGTTCCTTGCCATAGTACCCCCTATGGCCACTCCCTCCTCGCTGTCTTGCTGTCTTTGGTAGGCATGGTTGTCGTGGTTGCGTCGCGCGACGTCGTCATCACCGTCCTGGGTTGTGAAAAAATGGTTGCGCGCGCGCCCAGTTGCGCCCGACCCTCCCTACTGATATCGAGCTGTACATATTCATGAGTCTCCCAACAGTCTCCCAGGTCTCCTGAGGTTCTCCTGATATATCAAAACAGATTTTGATTCTCTGGAGACACAGGAGACACTTTAGAGAAACTGTAAAGATTGCTGATGTTATCCGTTGATATATGAGGATAATATATCAGAAAAGTCACATATTGACTACATCAGATCTAGATATAGTGATGGACTTTGCCTGGCAGGCAAATAGACAAATAAGCCGCAAAGTGGCTTGCCTGTATATTGGACTGATTGATATACATATAGTACGGCCGAAGGCCGGAAACTACTTGTATTGTATATACCTATGGTTGAGGAACTCAGAAGACATGGTAATGGGACTCAGGCCATAGAAGATTGGGCAAGAATCCATAAATCAAAATATACAAAAAGTTAGATTGTTGAATGGTATTTCAAAAATGGATTGGCACTCATTCTCTCTAAATCTTAACCACATTGGGGATAGCTGTTAATGTTTTAAGAGAAGGTTAAGGAAAGAAATTATATCTACTGGAAATGTCCCTAACAAAAGGGAGGATTTAATCTCTTTATCTCAAATTAAGGGTTTGGGAGGAGATGCCGTGGGAGAGTGTGTGTGTGTGTGTGTAGTCATTTCATTTCTAGTTTCTAGGTACAGAATGGTCGCATGCAGTATAAACTATAGCGAAAAGAAACCTAACCCCAATCTTTCCCAGACACGTCCCACTAAAGAAAACAACAGAAAAACGAACTGAAAGATATACAAAGAAAGTCAAGCGAAGCAGCGCGGGACAAAAGGAAAAGGTTTTGTGGGCTGAGCCCCTGTGCCCAAAGTGGGTCTTTCTTATAAGGGGTAGATTACGGGGATCGGCCCCGTTAGCGAGTATGAGGAGGATGTGGTGGGGATCGAGGTGAGGGTCGACATGGTCGCTGAGCCTGTGGCTAGGGGTGAGGGGGGGGCGCTTCTGGGGTATCCGATTTTTGTGATTGCTTTAAAGGCACCTAGAACTATAGTGAGGTTCTGGTCATTCCAGATATCGTTTAGTGATGTAATGGTCTGTAGCGGGCCGTGTCTGTTTGGGGCGAGCGCCGGGCAGGGGAGTATGGCATGTTCTGGTGTTTCTTCTGCTGCGTTGCAGCGTTCGCATTTTGAGGGGAGGTGAGCGGTCATCCAGGTTTTTTGGGCTCGAAGGTAGCTCTTTCCTGACCTGAACTGGTGGATGCGGGTTGCAATGAATTTGTGGAGGTCGTTGAAGGGAAGTGGGGTGGTGGTGGGTGGCTGGGGGTAGTACTCAGGAGGTGGGTAGTAGTGCCGCCAGTTGGTGAGGAGTTGTGTTTTTGCGTGGTGGTTCATTCGTATTGGGGCGATGCCTCCCGCTATCACGGGGAGGAGGAGCGATGCGAGGAATTCGATGGGTAAGTGGGCGACGCCTTTTATGGCGGTCGAGTTCCATTTCTTGGGGGGGTTGGGGAGGCCTTTGAGGAGTTGGGTGTGTGAGTATGTTCTGTGGGTGGAGATGGTTGGGAAGGAGGGGCTGGTCCTGCCCGTAACAGGGTTTGCGAGAGGGGATGTGCGAAGGATTCGTATCGCGTATTTGCATTTGAGGTAGTGGAGGTAGAGGTCAAGGGGGGGTGGGTTAGCCTCTGCCCACAGGATTTTGCGGTTGGTGGCTCCGAAGCATCCTGTGGTCCACCGGAGGACGGAGTTCCAGAAGGTTACCATGGATTTGAGGGCGGAGGTGGGGGTGAGGACGTTTGCGCCATAGGTGAGCATGGGCCTTATTGCTAGTGTGGCGGCTTTTTGGCAGTTGCGGGAGGAGAGGCCTTTGCCTGCTGAGGAGAAGCGTCGTATAGGACCGAAGGCTGACCTTGCCGAAGCTAGCCTCCTTAGGAAATGGGTGTTGGGGTTGAATGAGGGGGAGAGCCAGAAGCCAACCCATCTGACTTGATGTCCGGGTTGAAACTCCTGTCCGTCTAGGGAGATTGGGGTATGGCAGATTGGAGATTTGTCTCTTGGTGTTCGTCAGTGCATTTGTTCTGTTTTTGCTACTGAGAAGGTAACATTTTGTGGGGCGGCCAGGGCTGTTAGCCTGCTGTAGTGGTTCTGGAGGATGGTGATGATTTGGTGGTATGATGGGGAGCCGACTGTAATCGCAAAGTCGTCTACGTACGAGAGGGTGAGTCCGGGGGATGGGTCGAGGTTGTGTAGGAAGTTGACGTATATTACGAAGAGGAGGGGGGAGATGGGGGAGCCTTGGTGTACTCCTACTTGCACCGAGGTGGCAATCTTTGGGGAGCCTTTGAAGAGTAGGGTGATATACCTGTCGGAGAGGAAGGAGAGAGTCCAGTTGATTATGTATGGGGGGACTGATTTGGCTGCGAGTAGGGGGGCGATGTTTTGCTTAAGGACGTGGTCGAATCCTTCTTTGATGTCGAGGAAGAGTGTGGAGACTTTTAGCTTAGCCAATTGCATCGCTCTTGTCTTGTGCATTAGGGTGGTGACCGTGTCAGCGGTAGAGAGGCCAGCAACTGACCCACACTGATGTGGGTGGATGGGGCCTGTGGCGGTTGCTATTTTTGCGAGGCGGAGTGTTACGATTTTCTCCAGTATTTTGGAGAAGGTTTGTAGGAGGACGATGATTCTGTATGCTGCAGGGGAGGAGTAGTCGGTTTTCCCTGGCTTTGCTAGTATGACACTGTTGGCTCTTTTGAGGGAGAGGGGGTGGTAGCCATGTGTGAGGAGTGGGTTGAGGAGGGAGGCTATGATGAGTGGGTTTGCCTTCTGGATGCCGTTCCAGACGCTGTATGGGATTGTGTCGGTGCCTGGTGCTGAGAGGTTGGATGTTGTTTTCAGGACGGTTTGGACCTCGTCCAGCGTTATTGCTGTTACGTTTTGGTAACTTATGGGAGGGGGGGGGGCAGCTTC